CTGAAAAACAATTTTATTGGGATGCAGCTCAAGAGAAAGCGTTTGAAGTCCTTAAAACAGCTCTAATTTCAGAGCCTGTCTTAGGACACTTTGATGAATCCGCTGATACCCATCTACACACGGATGCAAGCGGACATGGTATTGGAGCTGTTCTTCTACAAATACAAGGTGGAAAGGAGCGGCCTATAGCTTATGCATCTAGAAGCTTGACAAAGGCTGAAAATAACTATTCTACAACGGAAAAAGAATGCCTTGCTGTAGTCTGGTCTATTAGCAAATTCCGCCCATATTTGTTTGGTCGACCATTCACGGTTGTCACTGACCATCATTCTCTATGTTGGTTGGTAGGGCAGAAAGATCCTTCTGGCCGTTTGGCAAGATGGGCGCTGAAGTTGCAAGAATTTGACGTGACCGTTATCTACAAGAGCGGACGCAAACATAAGGATGCCGATTGTCTGTCAAGGAGCCCGCTTGAGAACGATCCACCAAGTGCTGTGATGTCGATAACCAACGTCGATATAGAGCAGACTAAAGACCCGGATTTAGCTAAAATAATCGATAATTTAAACTCGGGCTACACCAGAAAGGAATTCAGCATTATCGACGGCATATTATACAAGAAAAACTATAGCACAACTGGAAGACCCTGGCTTATGATGATCCCTAAGCACTTAAGATCGGAAGTTATGGCAGATTTACATGACGCTCCTACAGCTGGGCATTTGGGTTTCGCCCGAACGTATGACAAAGTCAAGAAACGATTCTATTGGCCTGGCCTTTATAGAACTGTTCGCCAATATGTAAGCCATTGTCGGGAGTGTCAACGAAGGAAGAAATTACCTCGACGTCCGGCTGGACAACTTGTATCCATACCGCCCGTAGAAAAGCCATTCTATAAGGTCGGGGTCGATCTCCTTGGAAGATTTCCAGTTTCTAAAGATGGAAACCGTTGGATCATTGTGTGCACCGATTATATGACAAGGTATGCCATAACGAAAGCGATCCCAGACGGAGGAGCAATCGAAACAGCTAAGTTCCTGGTTGAAGATGTTATCTTGAAGCATGGAGCTCCTAGAGAAATGATAACAGATCGCGGAAGAAATTTCATTTCTCGAGTAATAAAAGAGATCAATGCTCTGTGCGGAATTGTGCACAGATTTACAACGGCCTACCATCCCCAGACCAACGGCCTGACTGAAAGGTTCAACAAAACTCTGGGAGACATGTTGTCCATGTACACAGGTGTCGAGCAGAAGGACTGGGACCAAGTTTTACCCTACGTAACATTTGCTTACAACACTGCTAAACAGGAGGCGACCGGCTACACTCCGTTCTTTCTTGTCCACGCCCGCGAGGCCGAGACCTACATCGATGCCGTACTACCCTACCTACCAGATGAGATCTCTGACGACTACGTTGGGGAACTTGTGACCAGAGCTGAGGAAGCGCGTCAACTCTCCCGATCACGCCTTCTACAATCACAGGCGAAAGACCGTAGACTTTACGACCAGAAACATACTCCAGTCTATTACCAGAAGGATGATCTTGTGTGGGTTTTTACTCCCATCCGAAAAGTAGGGCTCTCAGAAAAGCTACTGAAGAGATACTTCGGTCCCTACAAGGTGACCAAGAAGCTTTCAGAAGTTACGTATGAAGTAGAGCCCGTGGACCCGTCTCCCCGATCACGGAAATCCAAGGATATCGTTCATGTCATTCGGATGAAGCCCTACCTGGACCCTGAAGAACAACATTCCATTCTGCTAGGGAACACAGGCCGTGATAGATTTCCTTCCAGAACAAGGGCTGAGACAAGCTAATCAGCGGGTCGCTGTTTTTTTCTAAAGAGGGAGTAATGTCAAATAGCTCCATCCAGATGGGACAACTGTCAATCATCCCTGGACCCCGGGAGGGAGGAAGCTGATATGTAAATAAGGAAAACGGGACGGTGGCTTACCCCGTTCATTTAGGAGTAACTTTTAACTTGGGTAAGTTGTACAAAACTCTCTCTCCCTACAAATACCCCTTGTAATAAATTATTTAATCCCAAATTTGCCCTTGCTTTATTTATCTCCGCGACAATATAAATTCTACAAGGCCGCAGTCACCGTTCGGAGGAGATTGATAGAATCTCCGAATGTCGTGGTCCATTTGGACGAGGAAAGTGAAGACTAGAACGCGGCTGATTCCACACTCGTCTGTTCAGTGATTCGCTAACCATGACGTATGCACGAAGGAACGTGTGGCCATTAGACATGTGTCAGACCTGGAGGCTGTTGTTGGGTGCTGTGCTGCCTGGAGTATAGGAACTCCATCTATTATTTCTTCCTGTGGTGAATCTGTATAAGACTGGTGGTCTTAATAAACCTTTGTGTTTGTGTATATAATTATAGAAAATGTGGTCATATGATTAT